CACAAAAGCCACTTAGTACCATCAGAACACACACACACTGTTACCCTGTTTGCGCACAAAACAAACGCGGCTGCCTACAATCTCTGACATTCCAATGGTAGAAGTACCATCAGAACACACACACACTGTTACCCTGTTTGCGCACAAAACAAACTCGGCTGGCTACAATCTCTGACATTCCAATGATAGAAGAGCCAGCAGTGGCACTACAGTAGCTTATGAAACATACCCTCTTACTGCCCGCTGTTGTCTTACCAACATTTTCTGTCGTCCTAGTGAAACGGGAGCCAGTAATAGCACAAATGAAAAATGGATACTCTTTTTTTTTTAGCATATTAAAAAGCTTGGGCAGTATTTAACCACGGCGCAGGTGTCATGTAAGTGAATGTTCTGATTCTGAGTGAAAGTAGAAACGGGGTAACCAGTGAAGCGAGGTTAAAATGTATAAGATCACTTAGGATGAAGTTGCACAAAAAGGATAGGCACCGCCAACTTTCAAAGTCTCTAAGCTATTTCTTTACCGAGAAGACAATGCTTTGGCTATTATTAACTTACAGAAATAAAGTTCCTTGACAGCAGGAGTTACAATCCCTAGAATCCTGATCCCGGGATCTCGTATGCCAATTGAGCTCCCCACATTTCTGGATATGTAAAAGAAGGAACGCTGGGATTGGATTAACCCTCTCTTGTTTTATTTGTTTGTTTTAGAGCAAAGCCACATTGGACTGTCTGCTGTATCTACCGCGGAGAATCGAACCACAGATTTTAGCGTTGTAAGTTGGTAAATTTACCGCTGACCCACTGGGGAACAATACCCCTTTCCTGACCCGAGGAGTATCTCTAATAACCCTTGATTTTTTTTTTCTTATCACGATGGTAATACTTAACCAAATTGTATGAGAAGTATTAACCAACACGATTTCGTGACTAAACTTCAGTAGCCAATAAAAAGCTGCTTGTACTCAATGGCGTAGGTATGCCTCCGCAATTGCGGGGGAGGGGGGGCGAGCCAAAAGGGGTCCGAATCGTAACTATAGTAATATTGAAATAAATGTAGAGGGTCCCTTTTTTCCCTTTTTTTTTTTGCGGGATGGAGCATCTTTTGAAGTTACACCACTGCCCGTACTCAAGTTTGATTGCTCACATTCTGAATACTGATCAACTCTCCTTGTTGGATGATGGTGACGCGTTCATATACGATAAGATAACAGTTTTAGTAACAAAGCTACTCGTGCAAATGTTTAGTTTTACCAATCTCCAGTGTTTGAAATTATTACTTAATAATTTAAATTAGAAAAGTTTCATTGAGACCAAAAAAGAACTTAAATGAACAGAATGTTTAGTAGGAATTATAATTAAATTTCATGTCTAGCTTACCACATAACCATATATTTCATACTATAGCTCCAAGGTTTTTGCTTACATAAATACGAGAGAAAACTTAGAACTAAATCAAAATGAACGATCTGAGTTGTTAACGACTTGTTTAACTATGTTTACATATAACTTGTCCTAGAAGAATGTGCGGACTGGTCGTGAACAACCAAATTATTCACACCGGAGTGTATGATGTGCTGTTACCGGCAGTGATGTATATTGCACATTTTGAAATAACTGACTGTCCACAACAATTAGATGTTTTGAACACGTAAATACTGGAAAGTTAGAATAACGCTCAAGGACGACTATTATAACAATAATACTAACAACGTAAATCCCTACCGCAACTCAAACATAAACACTGTTAAATACACGAGGGGTATTTACCTCAAGAACACAAACACTGTTAAATACACGAGAGGTATTTACTTCAAGAACACAAACACTGTGAATACACGAGGGGTATTTACCCCAACATCACAAACACTGTAAATACACGAGAAATATTTACTCCAACAACACAAACACTGTAAACACACAAGAAATATTTACCCCAACAACGCAAACTGTAAATGCAAGAGAATTATTTATCCCAATAACGCAAACACTGTAAATACACGAGAAATATTTACTCCAACAACAGAAACACTTGTAAATACACGAAAAATATTTACCCCGATAATAGAAACACTGTAAATACAAGATAATTATTTACCCCAACTCTGTACAGCTCCTGCGGGCCTTTCATATCCAGAGGATGAGGGATGTGATGAAAGCACGTGGGAATGGTATATATGTTTTCTTCAGAAGCATAAGCCCTCCCTGAAGAAGCACTTCCAACTTTTGCCATGACGTTTAGGTTCCAGTAAGTGTTCCTATAGCACTTTCATAACGTTATGTTGTCAAAGTATTTTAGAAAGTCAGTTAAGTATATTGTTCTTTTTTTTCAACACATTTATTTTATCGTTCTCTTACTTAATTTGTTCTCTCTCTCTCTCTCTGTGTTGAAATATGCTAATTTAATACATCGAGCATATTGGTAAAGACATCCGTACACGATCTAAATACTGCGGAGAGAGAAAGTCAGGGCGTTTCAAAACCTTGGTGCAATAACTCGTGCAAGCTTCCGTTGCTTGTTCACTACACTCGCGTGGTTGTCACGCTATCTACTCCTGAATGTATACAGTTCCGTAGGCGCGAGAAATTAGCCAATAAGGTTACAAGCACTTTACATGATCAACCAATCGTAGAAAGGAGTAAACAGTAACGTCTGTTCTATCTCTCCCAGAGTACAAACAACAAAAAGTCAATCGTCCATATGTACTGTACACTGCACACCTGTCGGAGAGGATGTGTTATTGCACACAGGAAAGTTATGTGAGGTTATTTTATCCAAAACACGAGTATAAAAGAGCAATGCTTTAATGTCACTTACAGTTTGATTCATATGCACGGTATTCCAAAACAGTTCGACTCAAAACACTATCAAAATAACAGAGAAACAGCTTACAAAGGCATATTATTCAGAGATTAAACCTAACTCTTTAAAATAGTAAGTTTAATTTCTAACATAAAAATCAGTGTCTCAACTTGAAATGTATGAAACAGTAAACAGCAAATAGGATAATGCAGTTTTACACTTTGAAACAGTAAATAGGATAAGGCAGTTTTACACAGGGAAACAGTAAATAGGATAACGTACTATTTACACATTGAAACAGCAAATAGGATAATGCAGTTTTACACTTTGAAGGAGTAAATAGGATAAGGCAATTCTATGCATTGAAGCAGTATGTAAGTAAACGCACTCGTAAACATTGAAACTGTAAATATGATAACGCAGTTTTACACATTGGAACAATACTAGGTTAACGTACTTTTTTACACATTGAAACAGCAAATAGGATAATGCAATTTTACACATTGAAACAGTAAATAGGATAAGGCAGTTTTACACATTGAAACAGTAGATAGGATAAAGAAAATCTACATATTGAAGCAGTATACAAGTTAACTCACTTGTATACATTGAAGCAATAAATAGGTTAATACATTATACATTCAGAAGTTGAATTGCGTAGAATAATATGTAGCTCAGTGTATATCTACGCAAATGAAAAAAAAAAAACTTTTGGATTTCTTAGTGCAGAGCTACAAAATTGGATTTCTGCATTCTGTCCACTTCGGGGAATCGAACTCCGGATTTTTTACCACTGACTCACCGGGGAATAAAAGAATATATCAATACAGAAATATAAAGAATAAAGAATACAGAAATATAACTGATTAAAATAACATTCAAAAATCTATTATACGGGAGGCTAACTTATATACAGAACATACATAACCAAAACCTTAATCGTGAGAAGATAAAATAATAATATCTACATAACAAATAATCATAGCCGAAACAGCGACATCTAAAAAAAATGCACTCAGGATAATTTATAAAAAATATAATATCTAACAGTAAGTACGCAAAGATGAAGACAGGAGTTTACAGGAGAAGAAGTTATGTTCAGGACTATTATAATTTGAGACACTATCATAACTGTATTAAGGAGTTTATAGAATAATGTATTTACCCATTAAATAAATCAAGTTGTACTGAGGTAGACACTACTATAGGTCCAGCTTATCTATCTCGGTTAACTTGTGTTCAGGGTTACTGAGGAGGAGCGGATTTCTCCGAAACTAGTATAACCCAAAAACAAATAAAGTGTAGATTGAACTGGACCTACCTTTAACTTAGATTTCGAAATTAATCAATTTTCGGAATACTAAGTTTATTTATTACTACTATAAATGTACTAAGGAGTTTATAAAATAACGTATTCAGGAGCTGTAGACTACTTTATACAGATGTTATAAACACAAACACTGTCCAGGAAATCACAAATAAATAATATTTATCAAGACACTAAGTTTTTTAATACGAGCAGGTTACATATTTTTTATGAAGAAATTAAATAAAAAGTAAAAAAATAAAATATAAATATATACAGGGTGTCCATAAAATCTGGAGACATAGGGAAATGACTTAAATTTGTTGTTGTTTTTTTTCATTACAGGTAAAAATCTAAAGAGGTAAAAATAGTAAAGTAGAACTGATACTGCTATGTGAACGAGAAGGATGGTCGTATAGGAAAGTGACGTGTTTATAAACATTTTTGGCATTGTCTTCAAAAATATTTCGAGAACACATTGAATAATTCCAGTTCCAATATACAACTTATTTTGTAATTGCCCTATGTCTCCAGACTTTACGGACGGGCCCGGCATGGCCAGGTAGTTAGGGCGCTCGACTCGCAATCTGCGAGCCGCGGGTTCGAATCCCCGTCACCTCAAACATGCTCACTCTTTCAGCCGTGGGGGCCTTATAATGTGACGGTCAATCCCACTATTCGTTGGTAAAAGAGCAGCCCAAGAGTTGGCGGTGGGTGGTGATGACTAGCTGCCTTCCCTCTAGTCTTACACTGCTAAATTAGGGATGGGTAGCGCAGATAACCCTCGTATAGCTTTGCGCGAAATTCAAAACAAACAAACTTTATGGACACCTTGTATATATATATATGCACACACACACACAAAGAGAACTGTAATAAAAGGTTATACAATAATATATATTTGAAATCTAAGTCACTAACAAGGCATTTAGGAGGCTGCTGAATAACATTTTCTCATTAAATAATCAAAGCTATATTCAGAAGTTTATACGATAATGTACACATCCGCTATACAACCTGAGTTCTATTCAAACATACACAGGATAATACAGTGGTTGCCAACCTTTTTATGTTCCTCAACTCCCAAGCCAAGTCGCACCCACTGACCCATTTAATTTTTAAAAAAAAGTTTTTATTAACAAAAGAAATAAATCAAAGTAAGTCAACGACGCGCGAATTTTGAGTGATGACTAGTGGAATGTCTTAGTAACTCATGGAAACTGGCCTCCAATTTTGAGACGTGGGGTTTATTTTCTTTTTAATGCTTTCCAAAGGTTTTTGCGTACCTCCACAAACACTTCTGCGTACCTTAGAAACACGCGTACCACTGGTCGAGTTGGTTCGGTTGTGTTTAGAGCAAAGCCACGTTGGGCTATCAGCTGTGTCCACCTCGCGGAATCGAACCCCGGGTTTTAGCGTTGTATGTTGGGGAGACCCACTGGGATAATGTGTATAGATACACTACATGGCCAGAGCTGTATACTGGTGTCTACAATACAATTCATTTCTACATTCTAATTAACCAATAATTTATTCAATAGTTACAAAGTCGTGCATGTGAAGTGGCTGTTAGAGCCGACTGCGACCGGTTGTGTTTTATTTTGGACACTTTAAAACAGATGTAAATGATAATCACTATAAATTATCTCTAAAGACATTTGCATTTTTAACCTGAGTGGGACCTTATGCACACTGGAGATAGACGGCCAGGTCAAAGACCCTAATTTTGAATTGCTGACCAGAGAGAGGGACAGGCATTCAGCAACATTTGCTACCACAAAGAATTTGTCTAGGTTTTTTAACCGAATAAGGATTAACTGTCACGTTTATAACACTTCCACAGCTGAAAGTGCGGAGAGTATACAGACTGCCATCTCGGATCGAATCTTGGAGTTTCTGAAACACTGACCGGCTCGCTAACTATTAGACCATACACGACCCGGAATATCTAAAGATACTAACAGTGACAAATGTGATACTAATGTCGCTGGTCAGTAAAATGATGGTAATAGAGTCTTGTAAGTCTTGACCCAATGGACGGAAATGTTCCCCGAACTTGTCACTAACTATAACTGAATTTGTCTATAAAAATGTGAAACTATCTATCATTAACAGAACAAAAAAAAATCCCTTCATTTAAATATAGCATAAGTGGGCACTGCGCTTAGTTTAACAGTGTTTCTAAATTTCACCAGAGGCACATTGAGAATCATATGATTTTTCCAGAAAGGTTTGGACATAAGGCAGGGTATTTCAAAAGTCTCACAGTTGGCATTTATATGTTTTCCGTCATTTTATATCACAGCCTGCGTGTCGCACGTTCGAAACCCGTCACCAAACATGCTCGCTCTTTCAGCCATGGGAGCGTCCTAAATGTGACGATCAGTTTGATTATTCGTTGGTAAAGAGTGGCCCAAGAGTTGGCGGTGGGTGATGTTGATCAGCTGCCTTCCTTCTAGTTCTTTGAAGTTAAGCACAAAGCTACACAATGGGCTATCTGTGGTATCGAAACCCGATTTATAGTGTTGTCAGTCCGCAGACATACCGCTGTGCCACTGGGGGGCATGGATGACTAGAACATATAGTCTTCGAGTTGTTTTGCGTGAAATTCAACAAACATTTTCAATCAACATATCAGTATTCTAAATTAACGACTACAAGGTTATCATCTCCTCTGGACAATGACCATTGACCATCGCAATATCCTGCACACTGACATTCGCATTTCATTCAGATCACTATCCCCTATTGTTTAAGGGTCTGGCCTGGTGGTTAGGGCGCTCTGCTCACAATCTGAGGGTCTCGGGTTCGAATCCCCGTCACACCAAACATGCTCGCCCTTTCAGCCGTAGGGGCGTTATAATGTGACGATTAATCCCACTATACGTTGATAAAAGTGTAGCCCAAGAGTTGGCGGTGGGTGGTGATGACTAGCTGCCTTCCCTCTAGTCTTACACTGCTAAATTAGGGATGGGTAGCGCAGATAGCCCTCGTGTAGCTTTGCGCGAAATTCAAAACAAACAAACTGATACGATTACGCGCGCGCGCACGCACACACACACACACACACACACATATATAAATATAATATTACCGTCTGTTGTATGTTCATGTAACTACTTCGCAGGGTGTAGATGGATCTTTACCAAAGTACGCATGGAGGTTCATTAGGTCAATGCGGAGGTACATACAGATTTTCACTTTTGCATTTTGTGTTTTGCGGTTTTTATGGAAATGTTTACGTTTTTTTTTACCAATAATTCGCCCACGTAGATGGATAGTCACCAAATTTGATATGGAGGTTCATTGTGTCAATGGGGAGATATATATAAAATTTTTCAGTTTTGCAATTTTCATGAGCATTTTTGCATTTTTTACCAC